TCAAACCAGCCTGAATTATGTTGTCTATGGGGGGCTGCTTCTCTCTTGAAAGGAGTTTCCTAAGGAGGGATACAAACAGGAGGCGTTATTTGCATTTGCGGAGATCTGAACAACAGATTCCACTAAGTCAGTATAAAATCATCCACAACAAAAAACAAGTGAGAGAGAAGGACTGAGGAGGGCAAAGTAAAAATACAAGAAGGGAAAATTCAGACAAGCTACAGACAGCTTAAATACTAGCTTCCTAAAGCTAGTGAGCATTGTTTAGGTATATCTTTACTTCACGAGAGGCTCTGTTACAACTCCAAAAGCAAAGCAGACCTGCAAGTTACAATACATCCAAGTCAACAGACATTGCTCAATAGACAAAAGGGTAGAGACTGTCGGAAGCAGCACTGGGGTAAAAGCTTCCTAGAGTTTAGCAACTTAGACTTTAGATCTGTTAAGGTAAGAGGAAGTTTGGCATACTTGCACTCAGAACATTCAGAAGCCACATGGTCTCCATAATATTGTGACTAAAATAATTATTCCTAAATATTGTATATAAAGCCAATTTATGTGTCTGCTGAAGCACTGCCTGATGAGAAGAGCCATAGTTGTTGCCCTTCAGTGTTTAGGCTCTCAAGCCAAACCTTTGGCCACGCCTAGTTACTGACTTGCACACAGAGTTGGTTACTTCTCATTTCCTTACCTGGCAGCTTGAGTAGCCTGCAACTGAAGCTCCATATTATTGCTATTAACTCCTTTGACTATTTCTTCAACTGACCAGTGTGCAGAAACCTGTACGAAAAAAGTTCCATGAGCACTCTGCTGGGAGAGGCACACATCTGTGGAAGTCTTTACACAGTGCTAGGAAGAGGCCACAGTTCAGTCACATCCTTCAGTAAAAGTTATGCCCTTATGTGACACTCCAGAAATTCAGCTAGTTTAATCTATAGTTATTTGAACTACTGAAAACTTGGTTTCATGTGACTGATACATAGAGACAGCAAGTTTGAACAACTGCCCAAGCTCTTTACAAGATACCTCAGCAGCAGCACAGAGAAGAGGATGAATATTGCACATGCTCAGAAGCTACTTAAGGATCTAAGTTGTAGTTTATTGAAGTTATTATCACAGCCTTTAGTTGGTAGTGTGCATGTAACTGTGCATCCCACAAGAGAAGAAATTCATATTAGTGTGGCCACTGAAGTTGTTGCCACTTGTTCTGGGTACCTACTTACCTGATTGCTCCTATTTTCCTGAAGGGGAGAAGTGGCCTCGTCTGGAAAAGTGCTAACATTTCTTCTTTTAAGCATCTGGTCATCTTTTTTAGCTTTCCTCAATTCTACATTGACTTCAATACGCCGCCTTCTCATTTCCTAGAGAAAACATGTTCATATTCAGTTCTTTACTTTTACAACTCTATTTATGAACTACTGATAGCTAGCTATAATATTTACCCACGTTTGAATACTTACTGTAGTATCTTTTCCTTTGTTTTTGAATCTGTTCAAGCGAGCTGCTGTATTGGTATTCTCATTAGAGGACATCTTGCTTAGAGTTCAAAAGACAAACGAGGAGGAAAAAAGCCTGAAAACCAGAGTAAATGGTAAACACTAGAAGCTTAGGTCACAGGAACACAAAAAGACTCAAGATTTGAATCCAAGAGAATAGCAAATACATTAACACCCTCTGACTTGATTAAAGATATTAGTAACGTAACAAGCTGCCTTTTAAAAAAGCTTAGCTGTTACAGCAGCCTCTAGTATTAACAGAACACATTTTAAACACCCTCCTAGCCACAAACATCATTTTCATTCCCACAGACAGCATTTTAGAACACATTAGCTATTTCCTTTATGTCCTAAGGATCTATGGCACAGGCTGCCACCCACACCCACCCCAGCCCCTCTCGAGAAGAGCAGAGCCCTGGCACCAGGAAGGCCCTCTGAGCAAGCTCACCACATCGGTGCAGCCAGCAGCTACACCACCAACGAAGCAGGCTTCCACAAGGCCAGCTCCAAGGTGAACCACTACAGAAAAGCTACCTTTATCTCATACGCAGCCCCACCAAAACGCGAAAACCCCGCCGGGACGTGCCAACCCCATCGGATTCATTTTTAGTAGCAGTATAAGACCGCAGAGACCCAGAAAGCTCCGGAGCAGAAGCCGAGAGTGCCCCACCGCCAACAGAGCAGAGCCCCTTCAGACACAGCAGCACGCGCTCCACACCTCCGCCGCACCACCCTGCTCCTCACAGCACCTCTGCGGCACCCCCTCCTTTCCGGCTCCGCACCTCGGCTGCAGACTCCGCACACGAGCCGCCCCCAGCCAAGGACCACGCTGCCACTAACCTCGGCGGCTCCAGGCGGGATTTAAATTTCCCGCTCCCTCCCTCTGCCATTGGCCAGTTCGAGCCATAGCAACGTTCTGATTGGCCGGTTTGAAATGCGGCTCATCTCGCGATGAAAGGGAGAAAATCTCCGCCGTGCTCCCGGAAGAGCGCAGCGAACGTCACGCACTCAAACCGCCGCCCGCCCTCCCTGCACTACAACTCCCAGCATCCAATGCGCCGCACGCGGGGCCGGAACCCTGGGGACCGACGGCCGTGGCGTGCTGGGATTTGTAGTTTCGTGCCGCCTGGGCAATGAGTGGGGCGGCCACGGGTTTACTGTACCCGGAGTGGGCTGAGAGCATGGAGGTTCTTCTCGCTCATGCTGCCCGTCCTGAGCGATTTGCGTCAGTAACGCATCATTTCCTCACGTACGGCCTCATTTCTGCATCACTAACCATCAGTCATCGAGGGCTTCTACCAAGATCCCCTATGTGATCCCAATCCCATAAATGCGGTGTAGGAATGTCCCGTAGGAATTGAAGGCAATCCAGCAGCAACCAGTACGAACCACAATAAAATCATACAACCATTACTGTGGATCCCAACCAAGGAACCACAGCTGCCAGAACCCCAGCACTTCAATGCCTATGAAGGACAAATCGGGGTAAAAAGATCACATCGATTCCTACCAATTAAACCACTGCATTAAACAGACCGTACCGACCTGGAGAGGCACACAGCAATTAGCAAAGATAAACTGAGCGAAGAAGGAATTACCAGCCATGTTTTACACGGCTGGTTTTGTGCCTTACTATGCTGCTCTTTATAATAACATCCCTCAGCGTTCAAGCAAGGGTAAGGAAGTCAAGAGAAAGCACGTCAGTCAACCGAAATGGCAAATAGGGAAAATTAAAAAAAGTTGAACTTGAGCTAAAACACCCTGCGGGCCAAAGAAGAGGCACGGCGGCGTGCAGAGGTGGTCATCAATGGCTGCAGGGCGCTGTGTGGAACAGCGTGCCCAGGGTGGGAGCGCAGGGATGGGCGCGGCAGGGCAGGGAGGGCTGCAAGGAGCCGAGCCGTGTGCGACCATTGAAGGCCTCTTCCACGTGCGGGGCGGCGGCCTAAAGGGCGGCGAGAGGGCGGGCAGCTGAGGGAAACCAACGGGTTACTGCAGAACGGCGCGGATGGGATGGGCGGCCCCGCACAGATTGAACTGCGCCTGAGGTAATGGGGACAGCGGAGGGAGAACAAGAGATAAAAGCGCCGCAGCTGCTCACGGGAGAGCGCTGCGAGAGGAGCAGATGGGGCGGGGCTGCTGCCGGCACCGCACCACAGCCGAGGGGCGGGAAGTGGCGCTTCGGGAGGCCGTGAGGGGGAGAGTTTTTAAAGGAGAGGACCTCGGGGAAGGCGGCCGGCGGCGGATCTCCTCAGGCAGCCACCCGCGGGAGGGAACGGCGCTCACGTCCTCGCGCCACGCTGAGGGAAGCAACGACCACCGCGCGTGACAGACTGAGGCGCGCGGGACAGGGGAGGGGCCGAGGCGCGAGCCCACCTCTGAGGGCCGCACAGGACCGCGCGAAGCTCAGGGGGCGGAGCCTCGGGGAGGCACTGACGAGGGCGGGGCCTCCCGCTCATGAGCAGGGAGAACGTTAAAGAGCTGCAGGGGCGGAGCCACCGCCTCCGGGCGGGGCTCTTACGGCACGGCGCTCGCAGCTTTTGCTGGGTGACCCAGTGGCCTAATGGATAAGGCATCAGCCTCCGGAGCTGGGGATTGTGGGTTCGAGTCCCATCTGGGTCGTGCCGCCGATGTTTTGTGGCAGCTCGGTACATTCAGCGCGGGCGTCTCCCGCCGAGTAGCTCGTAGCGCAGTGCGTGCACTCCTCACTTTTGGCCGCAACCGCAGCGGCTCCGAGCCCCTCCGCCGCTCCCCTCCCGGCTCCGTCGGCGGGGTGGCGAGCGCGGTGCCGGTACCGCCGCCCCGTCCTTCCCCTCGGAGCAGCAGCGGGGTGCGCGGAGCGGAGCGGTCGTCGGTTCGCCGTGCGGCTGAGCGAGCGATGAGAGGCTCTGCAGAGCTGCCGGTACTTCGGGCGGCCCGGTCCGACTGCCGAGCCGAGGCCGCGCGCAGCGCTGACAGCCGGGCCGTGGCTGCGCTGCCCTGGGCGGTTCTCGGCGCCGGGAGGTGCGACGCGGCCGTTCCGGCGGTCACGACGGGGCTTCGGTCCGGTAACGAGATCGCCTGTTTCGGCGGGATAAACCTGCTTAAACGCAGCGACCCACACGGGGGTCGGTTTGGGGTGTAAAATTTTGCACGTCAGCTCATAGAAATCGAGAAATAAAGCGGTGTCTGCTGTCAGCAGGGCTTCCCCTCGCGCCGGGCGATAACCGCTGCACGGGAGCGGTCCCTCGGCAGGCGATGCTCCGGCCGCGCGGTTGGAGCCCTCGGGTTCCTGCCGTATCGCTCAGCTTTGGCTGCCCGTCCGCCGCCCAGCAGAGCCTCGCGCTCTCCGGCTCTCCTCGAGCAATTCCACGGGCAGAGCGAGGCGCTCCCCCAGTCTCGCCGCGAGCCTCCCGTCCATCCGTTACGCACTGCGGGGCTGTGGGTGCGGGCTTGGTGCTGCTCCAGGGGGCTGTCCGGCGGCGGTTCCCGTTTCCCCTAAGGCTGCCTCTCATTAGCATGAATCGGGGGAAGGGCATAAAAGACTCCGCTTCGTTTTGAGGCTGGAAAAAAAAAAAGAAAAAAAAAGAAAAACAAAACTTTTACTTCAAAATGACAACCAAAGCACTCTGGCTCCTCTGCTTTGTCATTAGATCGTCTTGCAGCTCGGTGGCCGGTAAGTTCCATACAGCGGGGCTGGGCACACATCTGTCTGCGGTGTTAGGGGAGGTTAAAGGCATTTCCACAAATTCTCACCAAAGCAGCCCACTCTCCAGCAAGTTGTAGCACGAATAACGTAAAGGCTCAGGAAAGAAACGGGTTGGGAATGTAAATTGTAGTAGCTGCTTTGTTGGGGTCAGAAAGAACGAGGAGCACCTGTCTGAAGCAGGCAGGCAGCTGGTGCTGTGCATCCATCCTGCCTGCACTGGTCTGCACGTGAAGTTTGCCTTCGTTCTGCATGTGGGATTTCTCCATTTGCATGTGGTCGTGCCCTTTTACTCTCTTTCTCTGCGCTGATAAATTCTGGGTCTAGAATTTATCCCCTGGAGCAAGCTGTCATGAACAAACGTGTATCTTATTTCTGCAACTAAAGGTGATCTATTCCATAAAGAAGGAGAAGTCCAGGAACTGATGATGGGGCAGTTGTATTTCTTAGGTTGCAAGAGGTGCACGGGAAGATGCTGGTGTCGCAGAGCGAGGCTCAGCATCCTGAACAGATGGAGTAGGGGCAAATGAACCATTTCTCGTTACAGCCCGTGACTGAGAGGGCTCAATAAACTGACAGAAAAGTGCATTTATAAAAGCCAAATCTAAAACACCTGCTCAGAGCACACAGCTTCGTATGGGAACAGCTCCATAACACCCTTGCCTATTAATTTCCTCAGCTTGGACTTCTTCCACCCTTTTCTTCATGGGCATTCTTTTGACTTTACATGTGGCCAGCCCAAATATCAGGGAATCTTTCCCATGACAGCAGCTGGTGAGAGCAGAGGGGGAGAAATGGCAAGGTCAGCAGCTGAGAGTCAGTTATGGAAGATAAACCAGGATGTTGTTCATCTGTGTAAGTCAAATATCTCTTTTCACACAAGGAGTCAGGATCAGCCTCCTACACAGTGCTAACCACAGAGCGAACACCCAGACAGCGGCTGTGTGTGGGTGAACTGCTCTAAAACCCTGCACTGGCCAACTAAAGGGAGGGCTCAAGCACAGGGAGGGAGAACTGCAAGAGGCAATTTCTCTCTTCCCAGCAGAAAAGTCTTTTGCTTTGTGAGCTCTGAGCAATCAAGGTGAAATATAAACTAAGCTCTAGGTAACTGTGCAGCTTGCACAAACAGTGCCATTAAGCCTGTCCCTTTGTCACTGCAGTCCCAGACGCTTCCTGTCTTTTTCAGCTCTTGTCCTCTCAGCTTAAAGAAAAGGCTTGAAATAATTGTTACTCAGCAGCAATAGCCTAGCTACCAGACTAGGTCTTCTTGGACTCCCATACAACTCTGTAGTGCAAAAGTCAGAGATCCAAAACTGCGGATAAAGATCTTTTCAGTAGCGTTCAAAGCCGAAAGCCGCTGAAAAGTCCAGATGACATTGTCAATAAGGCATCCCATGGATGGGAAAACCAAATAGTTCTGTTGTCATGGTCTTTTAAATAAGCATCCCAAATGGCAATGTGAATTTTGTTTCCTCAGATGCTCCCTGGAGATTCAGGCTTTTGAGAGAAGGGTTTGTTTATAAGTGATGTTTTTAATTTACAACAATAATAAAGTAAAAATGCAAATCTCCTGTGTTTTGCTCACAGCTGCATTCTCTGTATCAGGCCTTCTGTGGCTGAATACAGACAAATGAAGGGCTCCGTTTTATCAGTTGAACTGTGAGTTATGCCATCATGCACTCGAAGGCCTCGTTTATGGAGCAGACATCCAATCTGCCAGGTACTTCCCATCACATGGGCACGGAATAATTAACAATTCTGACTTGCTCTCTCTCTTTTCTCTTTTTCTTTTCTTTCTTTTTTAATGCAGGATCCCTGCCCTGTGCTGAGAAAGCCAGCCAGTCTCTCAGCAAATATGGGTATAACTCAGCAGATGCGACACCCAGCCAAGCCAAACTGCCAGCCTGGGCCACCACTAGAGAGGATCCCACCGAATACCAATTTCTGTCTCCCACCAACCTGCAGCACCCAAAACCTCCTGAAATCACCTCCCTCTCTTCAGACAAAAAGAAACGAACCAAGCCTTCTACTGAAAACAGCACAGGGCTGAGGAAACACCTCCTGCAGCACGGAGGGACCCTGCCTCTGGAACCTGCAAGCGAGGGGCCTTCTCCCACCTCCTTTGACTTGAACCAGGCAAACAGAAAGCAGGCAGACAGGCGGCTGGCGGAGGCTGCTAACAGCGTGTCAGCTCATTTCCAGCACACAGCAACTTCCTACCATAAGATCACATCCTTACTGGGGGCTCATCCTTTTCTAGAGTCTGGAACAGCAGAGTCAGCTGATCCTAACGTGCTGGATCATTTCAACCGACCAGGCAAGGTAAACCCCTACAAAAGCACTGAATTGTTGAAAATGATCAGCAAACCCTCCTGGGTCACCAACCGCCAGCCACCCAGCTTGCCACAACATTTCAGCTTGCTGAAGAAAGGTAAGGGAGGAGACTGCTCCAGTAAGGAAGGCTGTGAGCTTTCCACAGGTTGGGTGCCACAATTTGAATAAAACATCCCAGAAGGGCACATTGCTGTCCCTCAGTCTCTGTGCCTGTTCTAGGTGCCGATATGGAGAAGGCATGTCTGACCGAGTGCAGGAAAGAGAGAGATGAAGTGGAGGCCTACTGCACAAGTGAATTTGGTAAGCTGTCTTCCATGAGCCACACAAAGCCATCTTTGTTGATGTATTCCTTGACACTTCTGCTTTTAGGGTACTACTTCACTACATATATTAGGTAACTGTTAAGTGCATTAAAGGGAGCCATCACAGCTGTTTGTAAGAGTACTGTGACAATAGTACCAAGTCTTACATTACTCTTTCTCTGCCTTGGACCAGTGCTCTTTTTCCCCGTTTTATCCACTTTCCACTCCAAATCAGAAGGCAGAGCTCTTGTTGCTGATCTACAGAATTGAAGACCAACAGTTTTCAATACTCTGATGTTAAACATTGTAGCTGTATAGCAGCCCATACAACTAGAACAAGTTTGTGATCCAGGGGGTAAAGACACCAACAAAAATAAATAGTAACCCGCACAGCATGCGTTCTGTATAGAGAATTCCTCATGACATTCCTTAGGATTCATGTCTTCACTCCCTGCATCCAAGCTGGTATAGCTAAAGATGTTAGAAAATAACTTGGTAATGTTGCACTGAAGAGCATTTTCTGACTGAAATCTTTCCTTACACTTATGACGTCAAATAGCAACTTTTTCCCACAGTATTTTAAGGGATGAGCAGAATACATGCCTACCGGTAGCAGATGTTTCCATTTGCAGAATATAAACACGTTATAAGACATCTGTTTTCTCTAAATGGAGAAGTCAGGAAGTGCTTTCTACAAACGTTCTGTATTTTTATTATTATTTGTTTTACAACTCTCGCATTCCTGTCAAACATAGGCCTTACAGTGACACAACCTTTGGACCTCTCAGCCTTTCACAAACAGCAGTCTCCTCCAAGTCTTACACTGAAGAAGCCGGGTACAAAAGAAGACATCAGCCAAGTTCCATTGCTGTGATCACAGAGAGAATTTTCAGTTCTCTATGTTTACAGCCACAGACCGAATCAAAGTTCTCAGTGATGCGGGTAGAATGCCAGTTACAGAAGTTCTTAATACCTAACACAGTTGTTGTTTTCCAGTTCCACTACTTATTAAAACCAGAAATTGTCAGATAGCATGCAGAAATTGTCTGACAGCATGACGTTGCCTTCTTGGTGCCCTTGCTGCTTGATGTGATGAGGGCCTTTCCTTTCAAATCCAAAGTGGTTTATTAGTAGGTTAGCTTTGGACCACACTGTGGTATTTAAAACTTGTAAGTTTTACTTTGTCAAGTAAGTATTTTGAATATGAGGTGAGGAACAATTCTAAAACCATCACTTTAATTTGAACCTTTTATAAATTTCACTTGGATCTCGGAGCTGTAAAGAACAGAAATGTTAGTAAGTCATCCAGTGTCATAATTAGAAGCAACTGCTACCTTCAGTCCTGCCAGTTACTGCACCAAATAATTTCTGTGCTGGCATTTACAGCACCTTAAATGAATCTTCACATTTACCTTGAGTTGCCACTCCGATACGTAATCTCACGCTTCTTTTTTCTTGTCCTTAAAACAGCAGTGAATGGAATTGTTTATAACATGGAAAGACTGGGGAGTGGAGTCCACTTGGTTACACTTTTGGTAAACAGTGATGGCCTGTACAAGATGAGTCGCCTCTTTATTACTCCTGATGGCTTCTTCTTCCGAGTTCACATTCTAGTTGTGGATTCTTTCAACTGCAGCAAGCCATGTCCAGACTTCAAACTTGGTAAACAATTCCAGCTAAATCCACTCTACTGTTCCTCCTGCATGCAGTACAATTTTAGTTTGCCTCCACTCAAAAGGCTCATCCTGGGTTGTGTTATTTTTCAAAACAAAAAAAGTGCTTAAACTGGAGGGTTGTTTCTACCCTACTTCTGCAACTTGGTAAGAGACCCACCTGCATGAAGGAATCAGGTAGCAGTACAGCTCTTCAACTTCATCCAGTTCCAAGATGATTGCAAAGGTTTCTAGGATTGCTTAAACAAAATTAAGCAGGAGCATAAGCTCTTTGTAAATAGTCTAGTTTCCCTTCTAAATGCAGATTTATCAAATACCAGCATTTCCCCACTAAACCTTCTAGTTGCAGTACAACTGAATAATTAATTCATGTGCAAGTAGAACCCCCAAGTCCCAGGATGTATTTTGCTAGGGTCTAACTTTTTATCTATTCATATATCTATTGTCCTTACTGTGAGTGCAGTGAATGAATCAATGTTTTCTTCATAACACAGAAATCTCATTTCCCTTGCAGGCAGCAGATACATTGTGATGGGTCAGATCTACCACAAGAGAAGACAGATCCCTGCAAACCTAGTGCAGTTCCTGCGTGGGCACCTGAGGCCAGGGGATGGCTTGCTTGCAAGCAGCAGCAGCTACGTGAAGAGATTCAACAGGAAAAGGAGCCGCAAAGTGCAAGGGGCTCGCACTAAATGTAGATAAGGCTTCGTAAGCTCCTCCTGTAACGCAGGCAGCAGTAGAATTCACCTACCAGAATAAACATAATGATTTAGCAACAGTAGGAGGTAGTTCTACTGATGCCTGAAACTGATTGTGAATTTGCATTTGTGCTGTAGCAAACACTAGCTGAATGTTCTGACTAGCCACCTATAACATAGCACAAAAGTCCATCTCCAGTAACTGGTCGTAACCTTGCTCTAGCTGTTTTCAGAGCCACAGGCTATTGCCTCCTCTGCTGTAACGTACCACTAATAATCTGTAGTGATTGCTCAGTGAAATTCTGAAGACATGGTTCTTAGGTACACAAGAAGTAACCGTACTTCCAAGCCCCTCACCTCCAACAAACCTTAGAGGATGTCAAATCTATAGAGAATGTCAGCTGCGTTTTCACTCAGCTCTAAGTTATATACATGTGATGCAAAAGAAACCAACAAAACTAAGTATCTTTCATATTATGTTGATCTCCTCAAATACACTTCTTTAGACAGAATTGGGTTTTCATATAAAGCTTATAAAGTAGTGTATTCATATACTTGAATAATTAACAACTAACTGAAAGCAAATCAAGTAACTACACAACGCAAATGCCCAATTAGGCTTACAAATTATGGCAGAAGTTCCTGCCAAGGAATGCAAACTGAGCGTGCAATTGCAAGCACATTTTGTATGCCTGGCTACCTTGTCAGTTCCTTAAAAGTTCAGCTTTAGAACTCTGTACTGAATGTTATCTTCCCATGAGAATTATCAAAGTTGCAGTTGCACATCAGGAGTTATTCTGAATCAAAGACACAACCCTTTAGTACCATTAAGCAGTGGAGATTTAAGAATTATATAAATGTTCTGCAAAGGGCATCTCTTAATGTTTACTGCTCCAGCAGTCAGTATTCACAAACTCTAAGTCTGTACAATAAATTAATAAAGTGTTCACAGGGTTCTCAGTTCACTGTTTTTCTGGGTTTCAAAAGATCAAAAAAGATTATGCAGAGAGTATTAAATGGGAGCATCTCCTTGCTGGAAGGATCACCTGGTGATTTCAAGGCACAGTTCAAATCTGCCTACTTCAAACAACAGAGTAGAAAAATAACTGCTAACTACTATTGTTAGTAAGACAAAATATTCTTGCCAAAGCAGTAGCTCTGACAGTATTTGCAAGTATCCCTACAAATAAGCCACTAGAATCTTAATGGCAAGAAAAAGTTTAATTTTCTTTTTCTTTTTACCAATTCTACCTCAGATAAATCTGCAGCTTGGTTTCGAGTCACTGAGGAGCTATGGAGCAGAGCATGTGGGATAAGTCGCATGTATGAGATACTTCTTGATCTGGAATAGGAGACAAAATACCATCAGTGAACATCCTACATTTTAGGACCTAGAAAACTGTTACTATAGGACATAAACTCACCAGTAGTTCGTGTTCATCTAAAATACACCATCTCACTTCTGCAGTGTGAAAGAGGTCATACAGAGCATAGCATACATAGGTGGAATTTTCCCAAGACTTAATTAAGAGGGCTCCTGATTTGGCAAAATCATTCCTGGCAGTGATTCTGAGGGTGGGACAGGGGAAGGAAGGAGGAAGGGTTACATGTGCATCTCAAGTTTCTTTGTTTCTATTTTCAAATGCAGCCCAGGGACTAATGAGCAAGTCCCAGATCAATCATCTGCCCGGAATAGCAACTACGCACCCATCCCCACCTCCAAGATGTCATCGTAATCTAAAGCAGGCAAAGCAGGGGTGCAAAAACACATCCAAGATGGGATATGGCCACAGATGTTATCTCAGAAGAGATAACAGCATACCACTGCCAATGACATCCAAATCCAAAGTAAAAGGCCAGCAACCAACACAGCCTCTATTGCTACCTCAGGTACAAGTGCTGCTCGAGAAGCAAGCCTGAAGAGCAGTAGATTCCATTCTCCCTGTTTGCATCACAAGGCCACCTTCTTTTCCCTTTCCTTCTTGGAAGGTGTTCCTTAAAATATTACAACAGCCAAGCAACAGACCACTGCATTTCACAGCCCAACTGAAATGCAGCTGGAGGGAAGCATAACTACTGTTTTCTCTTCTGACCAGGCCTATCACATGCTACAGGATTGAAGAAAAACATTCTGAGTCATGTGGAATTCCAAAATGTAGCACTTACCATTAAAAAAACCCACAGCATTGAGCACCCTGAAAAGAAGATGTTACTTAGATGCAATAGTTGCAATGCTAAGTGAGATACATCACAACAGATCGTTTTGTTTCCCCCCCAGAACACACACAAACATTCTGCAGCCAACACACAGAAACCCAGGTGCAGAGCAATGTTGTCTTCCTGCCCTCCTAGGAGATATTCATGGCTTTTGGGTAAGCTCGACTTTCTAACCACCTTTAAATCCACGTTAACCACTTGATGAACTGAATTTAGGTCATAGGAAATTGATTGAAAGTTGCCTGAGAAACAAAAATCAAGCCAGAATGGTTCACATGATCAAAATCTATGTTACAATACGTGACTATTTTGAAACATGCTATTATTTATAAGAAATTAAAAGGAAGATGACTGAACAGAGAACACAGATCTTAGGAACTTACCATACTTTTAGGAAGGTGGAAATTAATAACTTTTACAAGACTGCTTTTATCCAGAAACACCTTTTAACTAAAAATATCACCTCTAATAAACCAAGACAAATGCCTCACCACATTCATTGGCAGTTGAAAAACTCAAGGCGGCTTTCAGCAAGATGAAATCATGTGCATGGATTATTCCCCTGATGAAACTGATTCACTAGCAATTAGACCTAATCTGGAAAAGCCAAGACCTACAACAATGCCACAACATCACCAATGGTTTCATTAGAAACACCACCAAATCAGTGTCAAGCACGTTATTTTATTTGTCTAGGATGATGTGTCCTTTAAGGTACAAAAAAAAGTACTCTTCAATTTGCCACAGGTTTTTAAAAACATAGCAGTCTATTGCCTACAGGTAGGAAAGTTTTAAATGTCATATAGTACAGAAATATTACCGAGTTCTGATGAAATGCAAGGTATGTTAAAACACTGTTAGAAGCTGTAAATTTTTTCCTTTCTGCATTAAAAACACAATGCGTACAATATGCAGCATTTTTATCTTAAATGTCAAGGACAACATAACCTAAATGCAACTACTCCTCTTTAACTTCAAGAAGCGTAAATGGATAACTGTTTTCACACTGAGCAATTATTTTTGTCACATATAGGTTAAATGACAACATTTGAACGTACAAAAAACCATGGGTTTTATTAGATAAAATTATCCCAGAAGTATCTGTACACCTGAGCCTGTGAGTATAAGAAAGTGTGGTCAGTAGCAACATCTTTAAGAAAAAACAACAAGGAAGGTTCTTGCATAGCAAGGTGTGAGGTTAAACCCAGAAGGAGCTTATTCATACATCAGGGAAATCCCAGCTCACTGAACAGAAGTTAACTGCGAATTAGTGCAAAAGCTTAAGTCAAATGGTTGGAGAGCTGCATACAAATCATGGCTCAGTAACTAGATTTAGGAAACACAAGACAGTCATTTATGCAGTATGCAAGTGAGAAAGAAAAAGAGACATCTGCAAATTGCATCTTCTTTTGACTACAACTTACTCTTCTTGCCAGCAACTCCTTATACAGGAAACAACAAAGCCATCTGGAACGCCTCTCATAGATACACTGACACTTGGAACTGTACATTTCTAGGGTACTTGGCAAAATATCACTTAGTTGAGCAGTGGGCAGTGACATCTCACCAAATGCTTCCTACCACGTTACCCGTTACAGTAATTTTGGCACCAGTGTAGGAATTCTGTAACGGGACAACAGCTGCTTAAAAAAGAGAAGTTCTAAATGCGACCTCGGGAGCCAAGTCAGATCTCCTTTTCCACTTCCCTCCCCACTTACTCGTAACACCTCTGCTTTCCACCAGATCCCCAAAGCGTTACAAACATATCAGCGCACACTCAAGGACACCTACATGTGTGGGGAGAACAATTATCTCCATTTATTTTGTTTCATATACATCCATATTTTGAATTTTAATACAAAAGAAAAAAATTAGAATCTGACAAATGTTTACAAACAAGATACCTTCAAATAGATTTTACTCGTTTCAGTCTGGTGTAGAGTAAATGACAAATTGTACTGTAATATTCAAGGCAACAGAGTCTGTAGTCCATGACCACTTAGCCCAACCTTTATGCAAGCTTAATTGTTCTGGTTTCTTTTTAATCTACCATGAATGACAAACTCATCGTTGATTCCCAGTTCTGTGTGTGTGCACATGTGTACATAGCAGCTCCTTTCATAGAAAGAAAAGACATCTAGAGGTCTTCTTGTACTTTTACCTACAGGAATCATGTTAAGATACAGAATGGATTACATGTGACCGGGGCTGGATTTTATAAGAAAAAATAATTAGCTGACAAATGAGGGCAGCAATAAAAAAGCGTCTTTTTTGCAACAATAAATAAATACAGTCAAAGTTTTCTGTGTGGACTTTAAACCAGCTTCTTCACTGAAGAACAGACGTGGCATTTCCATGGAGTTAAACTTGACCCCATTTACTGTATCTTTTTATTTTCTTGCTCTTTCTCCTTCAACAAAACAAAGTTTTCCTGCTTCTGCCACAATAGTACAACAATTTGATCTTGACAAGAAAGTGGTGCTGCTGATTTTTATTTCTTTGTCCTTTGGACAAAATAAGCCAAGGATATAATTTGACTGTTGTGACCAATAAAAACGCAGTTTACATCGAGTCTTGTCAGGATAACCTGACTAAAAACATCTGGCTTCTTAATTAAAAATTTTCAGACAACCAGATTCTTGCTCGTTTGTTAGGTTTACACGCAGAACTCTAAGAAGCTGTAGACTGCAGTTTGTTGTTATGGGACCTGCAGAGTACAGAAGAAAGTGAAGAATTAAGCACCCTTCATTTTGGGAAACACAGTTGCTGCAAGGTGTTGCCACAGGTAAATCACTAGGAGGGAATTACCATCGTGCTGCTGCTTTTTTTTTTTTTTTGTCTCAACTCTTCCAAAAAAAACACCTAATTTTCCCTGAATTTTATTCACATTTTCATGTCCTGCACACAAATATTTCACTGGTTGCCAAATACAGTGTCACTGGAATATTTCAAAATGCCTGAAGTCAGTTTTATTCTCACGTTTACATAACAGTAGTACATCAAAAGGAAAGGAAAAAGACAATTTATACAGGTGAATATTTATAATAAGGTGTATCCAGCCTAAATTTATTCAAGAAATCCTTGGATTAACTTAATAGAAAAAACTGAACCAGGCATATTAAAAATCACATCTCTGCTTATCACCATTCAGCAAAACCCTTCTTTGACATCCATAATTTTATTAGTGACTGAAAATCAAACAATGAGATACATGGCTTCCGAGATGAAATTTTCATTTCTCTCATTACAGTGTTCCAGGAATGGGACAATTTTTTTTTCCTGTTAATACATTTGCATTTAACCAGCAGGATTTGCTGGTAATAATAAAAATACTGATTGTTTACTTTTTAGACAAATGATCTGGATTTTTTTTTTTAGGGCTATTTAATGTTATTGAATTGTACAATAAAAGAAATTTCTGATTCCAGTTAAAACAGTTCAGACTAAAGATATCACAATCTGCAAGAGAAGAAAGGACACAGATGGTATAAACGAAAAACAATAACAAATAAAATGCAGCAATGAAATTAATGTGTAAGCAGTGGACGCTGGATAACCAGCAAATGCATGATGAAAGAAACACGAGTTGAGAACTACCTAATAAAAATTATTACTGCAGTATTATACTAGGAAGGAAAAATGCAGGTCTAATCCATTTGGTCTCACATCCTCTCTCAACAATATTACACTCCCATTGGATTAGAGCTTCCACAGCAGTAGGTATAAAGCAA